TGAAGGTCTTGTGCCCGCTCTCGAGCACAGTTTGCGCTTGAGACGGAGTTTGTACTCGGTCAACTTGTCCTTGTCCTGCAAAAGGAGAGAGTCAAGTATGGTTCGGAGCCGGGGGCGGACGTTGCTTTGTCCGCCCAAATTATACGAAAAAATGACTGGAGATACTCACCCTGCACCAGTCTGGGCGTCGTTGGCCCCATCCGAGACACTCGATGTCGAGTCGGACGCAGGCCTGGCAGGATCCATTGTCGTCCTGTTGTTCGTCGCATCCCTGTCTGATTCTGCAGGTCCAGCATCCCGCTTTGGATCTGGGGGCAGAGGCACTGCCGGCCGTGCCAGAGAGCATGACGGCGGGTCCACTCGACGCAGCGTCCGAGCGACGACGAGGACGATTATTTCGGGGCATGTTGGTGGTTGTGGTAGTTGAAAGTGGGGGTGGTGGTAATCGATGCCTCTTATCCTCCTCCTTTTATGTTGCACTGCACAGTCCCAGCAACCAGCCTTGCCATTCAGTTTGCGCCCGTTGGCCCTTGGACAAAGCAAGGCCCAGCCGTCTCTTTGCTTCGACGCCTCGCTTCCGCATCAATCCCGCAGTTGACTCTGCTCGACGCTCCTTGTTGCTGATCGGGGACACCATTGACCACCGACACTAGGCGCGGCGTAGTCGACGAGTAGCGTCGAGTCAGCCTGCGAGAGCAGCAGCACTCTGTCTCATATTGACAGCAGTTACGACAATGCAGACATGCACATTACGGTGCCTGTGCAGCCTCCTCATTCAGTCAGACATCCAACACTCTACACTATTCCGGTCGAATCAATCGCTGCAACTCTCCTCGCACACTCTCCTCTTCATCCTCACTGCTATGCCCACTCTCTGTCGGATACAACGCATCCAAATCCGTCTGCCGCATCCACTGATGGTCCACCCATTCGAATCCGGGCACCACCACTTCACTAATCAGACACCCAATCCTCTCCACGTCCTCTCCCGACCGCACGTCACATTCGAGCAGCCGCGACGTCTTCCATACCCCCGTCGACACGTACAACTGCCGCACCTCTCCCCGCGATGCGTGTGGGCCGAGTATCACCCTCTCCACCCGGGGAGGACTACTTTTAGTAGAGGAGGGGTGGATGAGAATGTACTCGGCGCGTCCTTGGTGCAAGAGGTGCATCGTGCCAGACTTGTTCATGTGGATATAGTTGTTGGGCTGGTCGGGCGTGAGGAGGTAGTAGATTGTCGTCGAGAGTCCTCTCTTGCGCTCTTCCACCGTGCCCTCGCCAAACGGTGTCAGGATCGTCTCGGTAGCTCGATGCGTTTCGGCAAAGTATCCTGTCGAATAGTCAGTGGATGGGCGTAGATTAGGAATTGTAAAGAGAATGGTGGGCGCTATAGTGAATGTAGGAAGCACCGGGCGTATGTGTGCGTAGAGGAGGTCGTAACCCGGTTCGACCAACCGAGGTCCAGGGTGAACACACCCCATAATGCTTCTCTCTTTCGTAGATCTCCGGTGAGGAGGTGCAGACTCCTACCGCCGAGTGCACCTCTGCTAACCTCATCCTCAGTGCCGTTGCACTTTTCGTCACTGCCAGCACTGGCACGCCACCAGATGACGGCCAGCATAGATCCGTTCCACTTTTGGGCGTTTAGACTACGCGATACGTATCCCAAAGGTTGGTTCGGAG